GATCTAGGTTCAAAGGGACAACTAAAACATGTATATCTGTATAAATCACTGAAAATGTTCTCCTTCTACTCATTCCTATGGCGCTCACAGTGATTGGAAGATACAAATTAAGCTATGCTTTTAATGACCATTAAGCGTTGCTGTGAAAAACTGAGTTAAGAGGTCACCTATGTGAGTGTGAAGTAGGGCCGCCTCTATAAAGATTGACAAGGCTACATCCTTGAAAAAATACTTGCAGAACCAGGCGACGTGTTCATGGCCAAAACGAACACAACAGTAAGAACTATGCTGTGACTAGAATGGTCTTGTGTGAGATCTATTGTCTTGGTTTACTCAAATGGCGAAACAGTTCAAGGCATTAGGTCCACTGGTTTGCTAGTAATTCCCGATAGGTTTTACAAGGGAAGGTTCAAAACTAAATGCTACCTATCCTATGCAGGATTGATTCGTTTTATTCTCTATTTCCTCTTAAATCTTAGTTTCCATTTTTCATTCATGTGAGGGATTGTTAGAATTGAATGAAAAATATTGAATAGAAAATATTGAATAGAAGTAATAAAAAATATTGAATAAAAGTCTCTTCATATGTTGTAACTCAAGTTCCTTTATGTTTTTAACTCCTTTATCAATGAATGGTTTAACTTCTTGATTAATGAGCTAGTTTTTTCTCCATTGGTATAAATAGGAGTCTCTCTAGGTTGAAAAATCACAAGTGAAATGCAAGCTTCTTCCTCTAAGCAACAATCTTCTTTTTCTCACTTTCAAGTTCTTCTTTGTGCTTATAATTTCTTTGTGAGATAGAGTATATCACAACTAGGTCGCAGACGGTTAACGTAGTGCAGCGTGAACCAACAAACGATTGTATCCTGGAAATCGAACACCGATCAAAACCTCTTGCACTCTGGTGAGGCGGCGAATTCGATTTAAGGAAATTGTGAATACACATGCCTTCGGTTTGATTTGATTCTCTAATATTTACCTACATAGATAACTTTTCTTTAACTTTTCAAATGTAATAAAAAATTTAATATATATAAGACCATTGTCATGAACTATGCCAATATTAGACTATTAACTTAAGAATTATGTTTTCTATTTCTTACAATTATAAATTCGTTTCTTTGCTTGGATTTAGCAGTTATTAAATATCAATTTCGTACTCTCGCTTAACCACAAAGATCTATCTAATAGATAAGTTATTCAATCGTTCAATTTAAGTGGATATTGCCTACAATACCTACTAAAATTTTAAATCGTCCAATCATTATCAATTCACATTTTTTTTTATTAATTGTAAAGCAGTTTTGAGTTGTTATCTATATTAAATTATTTGTTAATTTTTATTTTTCTTGATGTTAAATATTTTCGAGTTGTTTCTAAATATATTTAAAATTATTGTCATACTAAAAAGGAATTAATTAGGCGTTCCGAATCCCCTGTTTTTTTAATAAGTATGTGTAATTTTTTATTTTTTTTGACGATTTTAATGCGCTATAATTTATTATCGTTGACACCAAATTTCAGCATGATCTAATTGTTAATAGAAGAGATCCAAATCACCATCCTTATGATGCATCTCCAAACTTAAAACAAACTTTAGAATGCTCTTCATAGAAAAGATAAATTTCTTCTATTTTCATCAATTTTTTATCGTAGAAAAAAATATGAAACTTAAATCCCATGTTCCTTTGTATGCTTTTGTAGGTGTAAAATAAGGCTTCTCTTTGTTATTTTTTCTATTTTCGCTAATTGTCGATGGCCAGAGGAGATCACATGCTATGTTTGAACCTCTTTTGATATTATAGAACAAATGCATCCCCGTACTTTATATCAATTATGATTTGAATTTAGAGTCTTTATGTTCTTGCTCTTCATTCTGTAGTGAATTTCTCTTAAAACTCCTGTTATTTAAGGTTGATGTAGTTGGATATTAAGCACTTGTGACTTAGACAACTTAAGAACACAATAAAAAAAGTCCATGATCTTTTATTTGGTTCCGACACATTATTTGACGGATTAAACTATTTGTACACAAAGATTTACACAATCTTTTACACACACAACACGTGGCGGCTCCCTATTGGAGGGGCGGCTGGTGGGCATTAGGTGAATATAGCATAGTCCTTTGGAGGGGCGCCTGGCCCACTTGGCACCCCTCCAATAAGGGGCACCATGTGTGCATTATGGACATGTCCATAATGTACACCAATCATTATTCTTCATATGAATGGCTCCCTACCCAAGCATATTGTATTCATACAGCCTTTTTAACATTAACTTCTCTAAACACAATCATGCATTTGTGCCATGGATCGAAGTTGTGTACATCTTGCCACGTTGAGAATAAGTGAATAGTTAAAGTAACGTCTAATTACTGTAGTGTGCATCTATCTACGATATAAGAAATTACTAGATATGTTTCTTTTAGCTTTTCAAATGTAATATCACGAGTCAAAAGTTTAATACATTATGACCATCATTATGAACTGTGCATAAATAATATTTGACTATTAATTTGAGCAATTATTTTTTTTTTCCAATTATAGATGTATTTTTTTTATTGGATTCAGCGCCATTTAATTATAAATTTAGACTCTCATTAATCTATAAAGATCTCCCCAATAGTCAAATCATTCAAGCATCCAATTTAAGTGAAGATTACCAATAATACCGACCAAAATTTTAAATCTTCCAATCATTATCAATTCACATTTTTTTTATTAATATGATAATCTTTCTCGATAAAGTAAGTTGATTAGGGTAAAATTGTATCCCTTAGGAACTGTACATGCACCTTTTGACCCGTTCTCGAAAAATATAGAAGAAAGGGGTTTGTGCCCCAATATCTGCCATAAAAGGATCAAGCCATAACAAATGGGAAGCTATACGACTCAACTCCTCCTTGTTGTATATTTAAAAGAGATTGACGTCCTTGCTTCTCTCATGTACACGTCGAGCCACTTTTCTCCTCAGTAACTGCACTAAGAGGTAGGGAGATTTCTCATTTTTATAGAAACTTTTGTACCAGACCGAGGAATAAGTAATTCGACTCATTCACATCTAGATTATATGTTTGGAATCCATATTATGCAAGGAGACATTGCTTTTGCTAAATATATTCTAGTTGTTTCAAAATATTTTTAAAATTAAATTACATATATAGTCTTAATAAAAAGGAATTAAGTTGGTGTTTAGAATCCACTATTTCTTTATGGAGAAAGCAGAGATTTTTCGAAGATTTCATGTATTGTAATTGTTGTTGTTGACACCAAATTCCAATATGATCTAATTTTAAATAGAAAATCGCCATTTTATTTTGAAGCATTTCCAATTTCAAAACAAACTTTACAATGCTCGCCGATGAAAAAATATATTAACAGAGTTTTAATTTAGGAAAAATTGTAACCCTCTGTCAATTTTATTTTATTTATTTTTATCGTAGAAAGGATACAAACTTCTAAATTTTGCACCCATGTTCCTTTGTACATTTTGCAGGTGTAATAAAAGGGCCCGTCTTTGTTATTTATTCTTTATTACTATTTGAGGATGGCCAAAAGATGTCACAGGCTATGTTTGAGCCTTTGCTGCTATTGTTGGATCTTGAGCATGCTAATCAATTCTACATGCAAGTAGAACATGTGCATCCCCTTAGTTTATATCGAGGGTAATTTGAATAGTCTTTAGGTTCTTGCTCTTCATTTCGCAGTGTAGTGAATCCCTCTTAGAAGTCGTATTATATATTACAAGCCTAGTTGGATATTAAGTACTTGTCATTTTGACAATATAAGAAGACGATTTGCTGTGGTTGATTGAAATCTTTGATCTTTATTCTATTTGACACATTGTTTAATATCTTTCCATGTGGAATGCTCGCTATCCACGTAGAGTGTATATAGCATTTATAACATTAATTACTCCAACCATAGTCGTGTAAATGCGTTATGGATCGAACTTCACTTTTGCATGTCTTGAAATCATGTGGGGGATCGTTGACATGATCAAATCATTCACTCTCTTACTGACAAAGATTTCCCAGATAATTAAATCATTCAATCATCCAATATAAGTAGAGATTACCTATAATTCCTCCTAAAATTTTAAATCATCCAACCATCTCTTGCTAAACCTTTATACCTAAGCCAATTCAATTGCAAGTTCTAGGATAAACCACTACAATTCAAGTAGCCGTTGGAGTAGTTGAAAACTCCAGTAAAAAATAGCTCGTGATAGGTATCGAAATAGAAAATGAAAGTATGGTGATTATGAACTTCTATTTGCCATCCATTGTAAGAGGTAAATGAGTGATAGCATCGATAAGAAAGGACAGATATGATGGAGATCTATTAAACTTAAGGCCTATTTGGCATAGTTTTTGTTTTTTGTTTTTACTTCTTGTAGAAGGACTTATGGAGGAGGCTACCTTAATTTTTATGTGAAAACTAATATTTAAAAGTTTTTCATATTTCGAGAGTGTTTTTAGAAGAAGTTACATTAAATTAGTTTTCTTTAAAACTTCTATAACTATCAAAACATTTAACAAAATTAGTTAAACGGATCTTAAGCAACCTTTGTGTATTAAAAACTCATTTTGACTTTTCAAAAATCATGTCAAACGAGTCTTTAAAAGAATTCAAATTATCAATTCACATTTTTTATTAATTATAATGCGATTTTAAGTTTATAATCATTTAAAAAATTTCGTTTTAATTAACATCAAATTGTGAGCTTTAGAGCAATCCACAAGGCGTCGTGTAAACAAAACATATTTTAAAATTTTTTAAAAAAGCAAACAATTTATAAAACTTATCGTTAACTTGAGGCAAAAAGTCATCTCCGCCGCTAATGAGAGAGAGGCAGAGTGTTGACCGTAGTTACCTACAAAACGAAGTCGTTTCTGAGTAGGGTTAGGGCATCCAGGGGCATTGTTGTAACATAAGGAAAAAATTGAGGGTATTTCCGTCCCAAGCCAAGCATAAATACGTGGCAAAGTCCCTTCTCCTGATCTCTCATCTTCTCTCAGCCAAACCCCAAAGAGATTCCGAGGAAGAACAAAGGGAACATTTCCAGAAAAATCGAAAGCGGAGATTTGTTTATTTGATGAATTGAAGATTTGATCTAACAGTCATTATTCACCGTTCGTTCGATCGATCGTCGATCCATTTTTAGCATCGGCGGCGCGGCTCAGTGCATTATTCTTTTGCTTTTTTCTTCGTTCGCTTGTGGATAATATAATAAATAATAATCAAGGAAGAAAGAGAGAAATATTTGTACTGAGAACGGACCGAGTAGTTTTAGAGATTATTGTACCTGAATTTTTTGCTGGGTTGAATATCGGAGGACTGGAGGCGACCTGTGCCATTGCGAGGAGAATACTTTTTATTTGTACAATTGACAGGTATATGAAACGCTTAGTTTTTTGATAAATCTACGCGTATTTCTTGTATGTTGGTTGTTTTTGTGTTGACATCGTCAGTTGTCAGAGAGGGAAACCTACCTGTGTGTTTATTTTGTTCGCCGACGGATTTTTGTCCAGATCTGTGATATAAGAAGACACGCCTAGGGTTTCTTGGTTCCCAGGATTGGAGTTGCTGATATATGTGTTCAAGATCCGAACCAAGGAGGGAGTTTCTCGGGCAAGGGTTGATTAGAGTTTGATTTGTTATTTAGATGGATTATTTTGACTACCACGATTTGAATTTTGCGTTTTCTGCCGTCACTCTGGAGAATAAATCGATGGCCTGCTTATTTTTCTGGAGGAAAATGTATTGACACATGGAAATCTGCGGTACACAACCATTTAATTTTAAACTGTGAAATAATTGTTACTAGAAAGATGCTCTTTTGGGGGCTTCGTCCTTGGATGCTCCGGGAGAAGGATGTATTAGAAGGGATCTGGGGAAAAAAACTTAGGTGTTCTGATGGCTGAGGATGTTTTCCAGCAAGCGAAATTTCATGCTATCTATTTGCTTGTGTAGATCGCCTGACTGATTCTTGAATTTGGTTCCTCAATTCTTGTGCTTCTTACCTATTTTAGGCAACAGTAAGGCACTGGATATATTTGGAGAATGAGTAATTTAGTTAAATTGCCTGATTTCTTTTTCCCTTTTGCCATAACCACCCTATGGTTTGACATAATCAATTATGGCGGACATCATTCAGCATTCCTTTTCATCTCTCGAAGTTTATCTGATGTTTGGAATTAACGTCTGCCATCCATTGACCTAAGTTTGAAGTGACTTCTTCTGATCTTTCTTGGGGTCTTTTTTGCACTTCTCGGTATTATATGAAGCAAGGGATGATAACACTGTGCAGCAATCGCTCATCATTATGTGAAAAACAATAGATCCATTTGACAAGTATTTATTTATTTAATCCTTAACGGAAACAGTTAATATAAAATATTCGTCGTTCTTTGTTGAGTATTGCTCTGTCATTATTCAATTGAGTGAAAGAAGCCTTGAGTCTGAATATCAGTATCCAAAAAGTCAATCTGTATTTGCTCAAGTTTTGCTGGTCAAACTCCTTAGCACTATCTGCCTCAAGGTAATTGCCTGTGGAGGTGTGCTAGCACTTGCAACATCAACTGTCAATCTGAAGACAATTACGAAACTTGATTTGCTGTCTGATGTGTTTTATTCTTGTTGAATTTGTTTTTCATAGGGTTCTACGTTTTTACAGGTGTCTTACACTTTGACGTTGTGAAGAGTTTTGGCACAAGTCGAGAAGTTTTCTATTATTGGGTGACCACGGTTGCCTTTCAACTTATGGTGAGTTTGTCTAAACATTTTGTTCTAAATCTTGAATACATTGAGCTATTGCTCTATGGTAGGCATTCAATGATGCAGTTTTGGATCATACAGTTTTTTCTCCTAGAGTTAGTGGTGGCATGGTACATTGCATAAATTGGCACTCTATATTTTATGACCTTATTAGACGAATACAGGTTGCTCGTGAAACGGAGAGTTTTTTCAATAGAGTTGAGGAGGAGCAATATAAAGGATTAGTACTAATGGTCATGTGTGCCACTTGAAAACCTTGATACCTTCTATCTTTCTTGGTATGTTGCTTCGAGAAATCTTTCTACATGTATAAACTACTCACAGTTTGACACTGGTTGTTGATTTCTCGTACATAATTGAAAATTCTTCATTTAACTAGACACTGAGCTATGTATTATGTACTACCAATTAACATATAGTGGAACATTCATTAATTTGCTACCAGCTTTAATAAGCATACATGGATTGGCATCAACATCATAAGTATTGTAAAGAATAACAAAAGGAAACATAGACCAGGATATGGTTTTTAGTACCTTATGAACGTTGGGTATGTTAAGTTATTAGGCATTTTCCTGTGTAAGAAAATCTTGGTTATGAACTATTGTTTATTTTTTCTGAATGTGTGTTGCATTCATTTCTTGAAGACTCGCTTGTGTAGTTGCTCGGGGAGTTTTGGTTGTACACGAAGGTTAAATAGTGAAAGGAACCAGCTTGCAGAGGCATCCTGCAAGACTTGTGGTGGCAAATTCTTAGCTGATGGGATAGAGCTTGTATCTGATAGCATGCTTGAAACTGTGGGTCCTGAAGTTATGAATTCCAACATTCCAGAGTTAAATTGGAAGACTGTGACCAAAGGAAGGCGCTCCAAGAAGCCAGTTGTTAGAAACTTGAAAATTGTTGCAAAAGTTGGCAATACTAGTCCAAAAAGGGTTGGCAATTTTTCTGGTTCTGACTCTGACAAGGTATAGTTTCAATTGTTTGCGTTTGTCACCAAGCATTTAATCTCATTTTCACTTTCACACTCGATTATGATTTTACAGTTTGGTGAAGCTGGATTTGGACAAAGATCCTCTAGTAAAGTGGAGCATGTCCCAATTAAAAAAAGGAGAAATTTGCTTCGATCTCCATCACCAAATACTCGGGTCCTTTCTATTCGCAGTCAAGATTCTTCATCTCCTCAAACTCGTACTTCTTCTCCAATCTCAGAAGATTTTGAGCAACTTTCAGATCAAAATCATTCCTCGGGCTACGGGTCCTTGAATTCATACTCTAACCAGCTATCAAGGGATTTTGATAGATCGTCAACAGTTAAGGTTGGTAAGGGGGTTGATCATGGAATTTCTCTAGAGGGAACAGAGGCGGTATTATATAGCTCTGAGGACTTCTCTGGAATTGAACTTCTAGCTGCGGCTGCCTGTATTAACGGCATGGATGATGATGTTGTTAACGCTAACAAGGAGGATCTTACCGTAGAGGATTCTTCAATCCTCGAATGTTCTGTTGCATCTACATGTCCAACTGAATTGAAAGTAGGGTTCACTTGCACAGAAGCTGGAAATTTTCTCAGTAAAGAGTCAGTTTATGCAGATAGTTTCCAGTCCACGCTTGTTCCAGATAAAACTGCTCCTCCTCAGAATATGCTTGAAAGTGTGAAAGATGGAGCAGTGCAGAGAGCTTTTTCTTCGAAAGTGGATAGACTGCATTGGGATCTAAACACTGTAATGGATGCTTGGGATGAACCATATGATGTTTCGGACGTAGGAAATACCTCGAAAGATATCGATGATTTTGGTATTCTCGGGGGGAAGCTTAAGGGAGAATGTTGTGGGGATCATAAAAAATGTGATGTGGAAGTCCCAAGAGTTGAGTTTTTCAATATGGAAAAAGAAGTAACTAACTTGGAAGAACTTTCTGATTCTGATAAAACTTGCCTTGAGAAAAAATGTTTTCCAAAACCGGAGAGATCCTTGCTGGAACCAGTAAATTCTTATGCTGATATGGGAGAATCTATGCAGATAGATTCTGATAAGAGCCATTCTGTTCAAGTTGTCAGCCCAAATTCGGATGTTGATACGTCTATTAAAACTGTTGACAAAGATGCAGTTCCCAATAATTCTACTCTCGCTGAGTTACCTTGCTCCCTAAGCATTTCTGAACCAAAGGAAAAACTGGATGGAACTTCTGGCTTTGCTGGTATCTTTCCGGGTGAATATTGTTTCGGCCATATGATAGAATTCAACAAAACTACTTGCTCTGAAGCAATTCCGGCTGGGATTCAAAATTTGACTTCAAATGAGGTACCAGTCTTAGAATTATCTATGTCGGTAAATGACACAGAGGATTCTAGGAAGACATCTGAACTGCCTGATATTAGGACTTCTTTAAAGGAGACAATGAGCCTCATTACATGTGAAAGACCAGATATTGACAATTCTGGTAGTAATTCGACGGATGTGGATTTTTCTCATCCGTCATCTAACTGCAGAAGCTTTCGTGCCTCAGGGACCTTTATTCCTGATGATCAGTCTGTTGCAATTGCTGATAGGAAGGGTCAAGATGATAGAGTTTCTGTTGCAGGTTCCATGATATCTGATTCTCAGGGGCACTTTAAACCCCAGGAAATTGTTGTCAAGCATGAAGATGATTATGTTTCTATTGAAAGAAAAAGGAGCCCCATTTTGCAAGACTTGTGTAACAGTTATGGTGGCGGAGAAAATGTTGATCCCAATGCTCTTGATGCGAAGATTGGCATTCCTGATGACTGTCATGATTCTGATGTTTCTCAGGATAATCATGGGCAAATGGTTGATGGGGATGAGGTTACTAAATTTCAGGCAGGCTATGATTCTCCATACGAGGATGGAGAATTGAGGGGGTCAGTTTTGTATTCGTGGGAAGATAATGGCGTTGAATATGGTGAGAATGAGTGTGTTGACTATGACTCTGATGTTAGAGATGGCAATGGTTCTGATGCTGCAGATTACCCAGGGTCGGATATAGTTGATGGTGGTTCTGAGGGTTCCCAAGGGGCAAAAAAGAAATTTCAATTGATGAAGGGATTTTCAGAAACTGATTTGTTCTCCATACGAGGATGGAGAATTGAGGGGGTCAGTTTTGTATTCGTGGGAAGATAATGGCGTTGAATATGGTGAGAATGAGTGTGTTGACTATGACTCTGATGTTAGAGATGGCAATGGTTCTGATGCTGCAGATTACCCAGGGTCGGATATAGTTGATGGTGGTTCTGAGGGTTCCCAAGGGGCAAAAAAGAAATTTCAATTGATGAAGGGATTTTCAGAAACTGATTTGAACAAGGTTGGGTCAGTGAAACATTACTGGAGACATTTCACCAATAACGAAACTGAGAAGGCGATGGGTGGAAAGATAGAATCGAATGCAGGATCTGGTACCACCATTGATCAGTCCGTAGAAATGGTTGCTGAGGAATATGATGATAGTGAGAGAAGACGCGTGGTAGATCGAACAGATGCTGTTGATGGTAAAGGGTTGTGCATGGACGAATTTGGGTCAAGGACCTCTAGGGGGAAGCTGCAGTCTCGTATTGAAGGACCTTCATCTTTGGTTGCAACTGATGGAAAGGATGTTTTTATGCAGCAGTGCAGGTGACTTTCGAAGATAATTTCTTGATTGGTCGTCTTTTTGTTTTGTTTCCCCTGCCCAATTATTACCCCCACCACCCTTTTGGGCTCTTTTCCCCTTTCTCACTAGGAGATGGGGTGGATTTCCTCGTCTTTTTCTTTCTGGTTTTTTGTTTCAATATAATTGACAAATGTTTATCTTCTCCTATATTTTAGGTCGCGTCGTGTTGGCGGTCCATATTCTCGGTCTGAAAGAAACATCAGTCCTGAAAAATACCCTCTTAGGTATAGGCCAGCCAGTCATGTACGCGGAAGAGATGGATGTGATAGTCAGTGGACATACTGTGGATCGAGAAACCATTATACTTCTAGATATCATGGGATGGAGGACCACAGTCATACTAGGCCAAGAAATGCAATTAATGACTCGACAAACAAGTTTGGTGGATTTGACTCCCATGAACAGAGGCAATCTGCAAATTATTCTTCGAGAGGTTCGTATAGGCCCTCCTTTCGGAGGAGATCACCAGTTGACAGGGATGATTATTTTGGTATTCATAGGAGAGTACCTCTAGCCCGAGGCACCAGCAATAATAGGAGCGAGGTCAATTCTGGAAATTATTCAAGACGCATTGGTAGAGAGATTAGGGAGGATTTCCATGAGCCCGTTCCTGATGATGCTCCACGGTTGCCTAATTATTTATCAAGGAGGGAGAATAGCTTCGCTCACAATCCTGGTAGAGGTTCTCATATATCCTTAGCCCGTAGGAAATCTTGTTCTAGATCTAGATCACGGTCTCCCCGTCCATGGAACTTGCACAAGGAAAGAAACATGGGTACAAGGCAATACAGCAGATCTCCTGATTTCAGGTCCAATGTTAGAACAGAGAGAACGAGACTGCCCTATTCAAAACCCAGTTTTGCCTCTGATAATGGAGAAGGCTACATGTCCCCACCAAGAGGCTACTTCTCACCACAGCGCAACTGCCAATGGGTTGGTGAACGAAATTTTATGGACAATTGTCTAAGGCACAGGCGATCCCCAGTCAGAATGTTCAGGAGGAATGAAAGGTTTGATACTGTTGGTTCTTCTGGACGAATGAAGTCGGACAATTCTTTTAGACCCACAACGCGTCCTGGAAGATTTTCTTTCACGGCCAATTATGATAGGGAATTCAAGTTTAAGGCTGGTTATGAAGATAGGATACATCGAGTGAGGCTATCTGATGATGATGGTCCAGTTAGGCGGTTTCCGCATGATGTTTCCAATAATTTTGATGCAAGCAACAACTCTAATAAGGAAAATGATGTTCAACGTACTGATCAAAGGGATGTGCCCCGGAATGCTAGGGACGGTAAGAGATCTTTTAATATATGACTGATTGCTGCCCTTCACTTCCCTTGGTAGATAGATTATGAAAACGACCATGGCTTGCCTTGCCTTCATGTACTCTCTCTGTCTTGTAGCTGGTGGTTGATAGATAGAAATTCTATACCAGTTGAAGTTTTTTCTTTTATCTTTTCTAGCAAATTAGTTTTATAAATTTAAATTTTCCAATTGTTGCATTGCTCTGTTTCCTATTCGAGAAGGCAGGCTCCTTTAAATGTATGCTCAGGCACTGTTTTTTTGTTAGCCTTGGATGCAATCTTTGGCATCTCAGTTGCCGTCTTTGCCTCTTAAGATGGAAGGGATGTGTTTGCTAACATGTTAAATCTCGATATGGATCTTGTGACGAAGACAAAAATTATATTGTCGATCTTGAATTCAGTGGAAATTAGATATATTTTGCAGTTGACGTTTCGGTAAGAAATAATGCCGTTCTCCTGAGAAGTTCTAGAAATGCCATATTTATATTTTCCACGATTGTACCAGCTTTCAAATTTAAACAGAGAGAAATAAATACCATTTCTTTTTAGTACACTAGCATCACCAATTACAACGTGAAGAGACTCAAAGACCATTCAACTGAGGCTAATTGGACTCAAGATGAATGCTTTCGGCCAATGGAGACGCACATGCGCCGTCACCTTTTTGTAAATATCCTTTCGACGAACTTTTTAATTGCACCACAAATCTGGAATCTTTATTTATTGTTACACAGTCCCCAACATAATTTTTGGCGCATTCTTTATCCTCAATTATGGGTTCGTAAGAAAAAGTGAAAATTGTAAAAATGCAAATTCTTGTAGCGAAGCTTTTGATGTTTACACAGTGGTTTACAAGATTTAAATTTATCTTCATCTTGCTTTTGAATATAAATCTCAATATGTCTCGAGTGTCTCTTATTAAGGAAAATGACCTTCAAATTTTAGAGTGGATTGTTGGGGGATTTTGCTTGGGAAACTGAAAACATTTTGCTTTCAGCATTATGTTGATTCGTTATAATACCATATTTAGATTGCGTTTATAAGATTGCTCGTTCCTGTCGACAACGTGAGCATCATTACAATGATGAATTGCCCAGTAACATCTAGTTGAGCACAAGTTCAATAAGCTAATCTTGCATGTTTTTTATAAAATCTTTGGTTTTGAGATATTAACTTTTCCTTAATTTCATCCTAACTTAAAATTCGACTCTTGCTCCGCCACTTAGAGAAATGAACAAGCGTTAGAATTTACACTTGATAACAATGTTTAACAGGCACAAAGCTGTCTCCACTGATAATCGCAGGTGGTAATAAACGAAGAAATGTACAGAGTATGCTTCAATATCACGAAGTGCAACATTAAAAAACTCAAAGCACGGGCATACAGAATGACCATTGTTTACAATAAAAAAGCATCACCAATTGAAGCTAATGGACTCAAAATGCAGGTTTTTTGCCAATGCAGATGCACATATTTTTGCAACTTCATGGCGCATGCTCTTCGGGCCGCAAACTAGAACTCCAACGTCTGGTTCTTTGCGATCGAAAAGTATTCCTTTGATTTTAACAAGAAAGATCAAGTGTGTGTTAGGCTAGGCATAGGCATAAGCCTCTTTCAATAATTCACTAAATTAAACGTTATAGACATGTTAGATAAGCTCGACTAGATGATATTGAATATGAGTTAAAAGAATTGTTAATCACATAAAGTTCACTAAGGTGAATAAACTTGTCACAAAACTTCAATTTTTGTCTCGGCTTCGACATTTTTTCTATCTCTGCTTGCTGAATAACCGCAACATTAACGTGATCTTAAAAGTCAGTTTATTTTTTGGATTTCGTTCCGAAAAGGGTATTGGAAAACACTATTGATTCAACAGAATTATTTTTGTCCAATTGGACGATAAAACCAAAGTGCCAATAGATTTTTAGTCCTCATTATTTCAATTTTATTTTTAATCACATATTTTATGGGACTGACAACTTTTATTAAATTTTCAACCATATATTTCATCAACTTTTATCAAATCTACTCAAAATCTAATTTTTATCCAAACAAAACAGGGGTCTAGTGTCACATCAGGACTTCTTTTGATTCAGAAAACAGGATGCTTATACTGAAACAAAAATGGAAGTTTGGTGACTAATTTAGAATGGAAAGAAGTCCAGAAACCAAAGTTAGAGTGCAGCAAGTTTTTTCTAATATTGCATATACTGAACACTACTTAATTTTTCCCAAAACACAAAAAAGGCACTTACTCTTTAGATCAGGTCTAGTTCCATAGTGCACCTTTGTACATTGCACTAGGGACTGATGAGGCAAGCTTTCAAGTTCTCTCTCAGTAGCACATAACCATGAAGCTGGCGATGAGGTTGGTGATGTCATTTCCACGTTCTGAATCTGCCTTTCTTCCTCAGAAGTCTCTCTCTTTTGCAAGAGGAAAATGACACTAGTTCCTATAAATACACAAGCCATTACAAGAAACATATCCCATAAAATCTTAAAACTGTAATGGTAATTCTGTCCCCTCCTCTCGACAGGATATATATGGTAACGAGTGACGATTCCCAGAAAGATTAAAAACATGATGAAGGAGGACGAGATTATAGCCCCGAGCAATAGCCAACTGTTTTTCCCAAGGGCTGAAGAAATCGGCGAATCTGATGGATTTGGCTTGAACAATTTAATCTGGATGAGTTTATGGGCATTTTCAAAGGATTTTTGATCGTTTTCTCTTGTAATGTAGGCTTCTATTTGTAATTGTACTTTGGAAATATCTATAGGATTTCCATATAGAGGGAGCAAGAGATCTAGCATTGAGAGATCAGCTGGATTTTTGAAGGCAGTTACTAGAAGAATTTTTGGTACGTTAAATTCTGGTTGTGTACTTCTGAAGATGATCTCTCGGATTATGGAAATGAAAGGAGTAATGCCACTTCCTCCACAGATCATCACCAGAGAATCCCGACTGCAGCGAGATTAAGCTTTGTCAGCATGATCTTACCTCATTTAAAAGCGTAAATTATTAGAGACGAAAAGAACGTTAAACTTGCCTGACTTCTCTTGAATACTTCCAATCGTTGTTACATATATTTATAATAAAAATATTTCAACAACAACCAACTTTGTCATAAAATACGTATATTCAACTATTAGCTGTCAAAATGTTTTATACGAAATCAAAATTTCCTTCTCTATAAAATTATATCCACAAATCTTTTCGTTTCTACTTTAGGAAACATATATAATGACCAAATTATTTTAATCTGTAAAAACTTGCCGTAAATTATCCCTTCCTTTTTTTTTTTTTTTTTTTTTAACAAATGTAATAATATTTAAATATTTAAATAAATAACATTTTTAGATTAAAATGAAGACTTAATGCAATTCAAAAGATAAAGTAACAAAATAAAACCTCTCTCACAGTTCGAGAGATTAGGCTAGCATAATATTTAACCTTCTTATATTTTGAGATGTAAAATTAGTAATTAGAAAACAAAAATCTAGTTTTTTAACATATTTTTTTAGAAAAAATCGTAGCTAATTCATTCAATTTCTCTTATGACATGGTTGATCAAAGATAAGAACTTCAACTTTGAAAAACTTCTTTCAACGGTGGCAACTGTGAAAGGAATAGTCAATAATACTCTATAAACAACTCAAGCAGTTGCAAAACAACAACTCATTCTTTTAACGTAATCCAATAGGTTAATTGCTTTATTAGTTTTTGTAGGTATCGCTTCCCTTAAAACTTTCAACTCAAAAAATAATTCTACCTCATCAATATCAAAAACCATATTATGCTTTAAGTAATTTTCAAGGTTAATGCAAAAACACTTCAAACTATCATCATCAATAGATTTGAGCCTTTTCAAATCAAATAAAAATCCAAAAATATTGTCATATTTTTGAAATTGTTCAAATCTGTTTTGACGTGATGATAGAGATTGATCTATTCTATATATAGGAAAAAACTGATCTTTAATAATAATAATAATAATAATAATAATAATAATAATAATAATAATAATAATAATAATAATAAAGAATTCAATTGTTTACATCATTTACTCATAAGTCTCATCAAACGACTTCTTTTTATGTGTAACCCATTTTTCTCGAAATATCAATTCAATTTATAATTACTTTCAATCTCTGTAGCATCAACCATGGCTAATCCAAACCCCAAATCTTTATAACTTTTGAAAAAGGAAATGAGCAATTTTAATGGTTTATAGCAACATCAATATGTATGTCTTTTGTTTGTAAATGTTTGCTTACTCTGCTAATATTATTCAACATTTCATATTAAATAATCATCCCAAGTAATAATTTAGAATTCTCAATTTCATATGTTGTCAAATACTCTACCCCACTTTTTGTCTTAGGATCATCTACACTTGCCAGTTGAAATAAAGCATTTTTCTATAGAGCTTAAAATCTTATCGTTCTAACACTTTCAACATGGCTTTCCCAATGAGTTCGTGATAAGGACTTAAGAGTAAGGCCATTTACATTATCTTTAAAAAATTCCCACTATCCAGTAGATGACGAAAATAAAGTGTATATATGTTACACCACTCCAAAGAAACATTTCGTTTTTGAACAAGTGATTATATCACAAAGTGCAAGATTATGGTTGTAACACCCACAACGACTATCAAATGCTCTAGGATTCACTTGAAGTAGTCTATTACGTACTCCTTTATGTTTTCCTTTCATGCTAGCTTCGTTATCATTGCCTTAACCCTTTACAAGATCAATATTAAGTTCTATATTATTCAAAGTATCCACAAGTTCATAAAAAAATCCCTTACCAAAGTATCGTCCACCAATCAAAATCCTAAAAAGAATTATTCTAATTTTGCTAGACTTGCTGAAATATTAGACATCTTAATAGGAAAATTGGCACAAAAAGTCCCTACCTTTCATGTCTATTGAGAAAAACATCCATATTTTCATTTTTTGACATTTTTGCCCCTATTTTCACCTTTTTTGACGCTGAACGTCCTTTTCATCAATTTTGGACAATTTTACCCTTCATTCAAATATGAGAACATACCTTCCTGAGTTTGATGATTTCTTCTGAAAATGAAGATAAACACAGCCCAATGCAGCAATGAACATAATTGGAAAACTAAATAAAAGAAGATTTGTCCCTGTAAAAGAGTGTAGATTACATGATTACGTGAGAAATTTTTGATAAAAAATCAACAATATCATAGCAAGTATGCACACACACAAAAAAAAGGAAGAAATTAACAAGCTATACCTTGCTCTCGAAAATAAGTGGAATTGAGTTTTTCATTCAACTTAGGGGTCCATGAAGTTTTGTAAGTTTTTGTGGGCAACATAACCCAAATAAACATATAACCAACAGAAAGCAAGAAAAATATAATCTGCCATAGAACCCTAAACTTCATGTTCTCAGCAGTGGATTTGCTTGTAGGGACTCCTTGTCCTGAAATCTGGATGCCAATAAGATTTGACAAACAGAATAATGGGTAGCTATATTTGTATTCCAGAAAGTCTTATCCGACTTAATTATATACATATACGTATACTCGATTTCTTGGCTGTCATATGCTTGGTATTATTCTATGATGTATTTATATATGAATAAAATAATTTTGATGCGTCACCATATGTGGAGGAGAAAAACAGCATGATTCATGCACAAGTACGGGGAACTATTGTACTGCAAGTTCATTTTTCAGGTGGCTAAAATTCTAAACAAGTGGGGTAAATTAGTTAGAAAGATGCTCTCGGAAATTGTCAGAATGTCAAGTGGCAGATTTGCATTCGACTTTGCACAAAAAAAGATTAAAAATAGCCAATCAAAATTCATCACATTTTGCTTAGCATTTTTCTCTGTACAAACAGCTTTATTAATTTAGTTATTCTTCGTGTGTGTGTGTATCTTTTTCTTTTCTACAAATTTGAACAGTGGATCATCGTGACAGCAAGGTCACTTTTGCAGCTTAAAATACCTTAGAGCCTCGTATTGTAATTAGGTTTCAGATACAAAAACTTAAAAAAAGCCAAATTTTGATGCTTTTTTTCTCATTAAAACAAACATATCCTTTTAAGTTTCCTCTTGTGCATACATATACAAGTTTTAGCATCAACATTTAGCAAATTTTTACTTGAGAAAATCCATTTGTATAGAAATGGATTTGACAGGAATAATACAGAACTCTCACATGGGTCACACTCCCGTGTGAATAAAATAGTGAGAACCTCCTGACTGTGTTTCATCTGTATGGATTTTGTGAGCCATCTTCTGTAAATGTAGCGGCATTGTTTTTACCTTACCAAAAGCAAATAGCATTTCAAATGGTACTACTCCTGCTACAGTTGTGTGCAAGTACAGTTTGACTTTAGGATTTAGCAGTACAATAGAAAAGAGACTTAATGCTATTTAAATCTGTTCAAAAATATAGAGTTTGACCTAATGCTCTTCATACAAAGAGGAGGTAAAATAACAAACTAATAAAAAAACAAGAGAAAATAATGTCAATGAAAAAAACTAATACAAATTGACATCTTGTTAGTGCGCACGCAAGCAAATTGGAAAACCTTATTATTTTATATATATATATATATATACCATAAGAATATAAACAATTTAGTGGACATAAAATCTAAAAGATAATGAAAAGTGGGGCGGGGGGATGATTTATCATTTTTTTTAATAAGGACAGTTAAAGTATTAATCTTTAAAAAAAAAAAATCAAAATTAGACCTTAAAAACATTGAAGTGCAAAACAAACTTTTAGAATGTTATAATTTTGAGAATGAGATGAGATATCCATAATTATCAATCGCTATTTTGAGAATGAGATGAGATATCCATAATTATCAATCGCGATAGGAATAGCGAGTATTTATAATCATGTATAGTTTTACGGAGTCTTGAAATTCAATATTAAAACATCAAAATATTAGTATTTGTATTCCATTATAAAAGGGCAATTTGTTAAGAGTTATCTGCAAGTTCATCGAGGATTACACTAAATTCCAAATATTATTTATCTTAGAGAGTCATTGTTTAAAAAGAAATTTCAATAAACTTTTTTATGTAACCACACAAAATCAGTATTTATTTCATATATCGAAAAAATGAATCATCATTTGAAAGCAAGACATAAGAACCACCCCATAACCAAAAGTAAGAACACCATTCATACGTAGTAACTACATTTAACTATTTAAAATATCACAATGAGAAAAAAGGACTCAATTAAAATTACAAAACTGTGAACATAATTTTTAAGTATATCAACAATACCAGGTTCTAAGATTTAATTTTCTTTTGCTCTTCAATTATGAACCAACCAGTTTGCATAAATCTTTCCTACATACCAACAAGTTGCAAGAGTTTCGCAGAAACACAGAAATTTCCAATGGCAGAGCACAGAATTAATTCAGAAATTTACAGTGAGTTGAAAATCTATGCAAACGTATATCTATTCACAAGTGTTTGAGAACTAACGTTCCAAAACCAATGCCCAGAAAGGTCGCTATTGATATTCCAAATATCCCTACTAGAATGCCGGGAACGACCAAAGAACTCCATCCTTTTGCTGTAGCCATTCCACCTGCTGTCGTAGGACCTCCAATATTAGCATTCGATGCTAATAATAACAGTTTTGAGTCCAATCTGAACAATCTTCCCAATGCAAGTATCACAAGGAGATGAACAGTCACTTGAATGAAAGCAAACAAGAAAATACTAGGTGCCGTGTGGATTACATTCCATATACTCCCACCGGCACCCACAACAGCAAAAAATACCTGTTCATAAAAGAAATGATGATTTAAAGCAGATAATCCAACAGAATTATTGGCCAATATATGTAATAATTTAACATCACAATATTTGGTGTGAGAAGAAAATCCTTCTCTTACTTTTGAAGTCAGCCACATGATTGTTTTTACATCAACCTATTAGATTCATCACGACATTTACCCAAAGATCCAATAAGAAAAATTCCTTCGCAACCATATCAACTGGAATTAATTTTGGTCTACACGTCTATCTTCCAATATTTTCTACAAGACACAGCATCACTAACAAAAACTTATTGAAGTATCCCAAAGACATTTTCCAACTGCTTAAGTCATCGAGAACTAGAAAATCCTATTTGCTCAAATCCCAAATGACAAAGTTCAATATTCGCATTGTAACTGTCACCTAATTTATTCTCAGTTGGTATCATCTCGATTTCTATTGCGAGAAATTGTCAGTCACTGTCATTTAGGAAGAATATTCGTTGCACTAAAATCATTTGAATTCAGAACCTTAGGTACACGAACAGCTGAACAGTGCGGCCTTTACAAAACAAAACTTTCCAATTTGAGGCTGCATAGTACTTGAGCAGTTGTTTGCTGATTCACAAGTTTATAAACCAATTACTGGCACCTTTTCACAATCCATCAACTATATTTGAGACTAGAAACTCGAAGCCAGTCGATTTATGGCGAAGCCTTATTGGTTGTCACAGTGCTCATAATAAATTAGCTTTTTCAGGTCATAAGGGCACGAAACTGAAAGGATTCAAGATCAAGACACCCAAGACTGGACAAAGAATTATCGCTTTACAGATGGTGTATATTGCAAAAAGCCCCAAACAGAACTGTACTGGACCTCTTCGAGCGAACGTTTGGGTCTTAAGTACAGAAGTCGTAGAACATAGGAGCCAGAGTGAACTATGACAAACCAATACAAGGTGTAGTAGGCTTTCAAGTTACCTGCATCAATACTACAGCAAATGCTTCACCAGCAGATGCAAGTTGGCAGAAATATTTTGGAAGGGAAGTTGCTAAAACCACAACAATTGCTGTAATTGCAGGAAGATCACCTCCTTGAATTCTGAGCAATTTGGTAAGAGAAGTGGCAGCTTTGCATATAGCGAATGAAACAGCAAGTGCAGTAGCAATATGAAGCACAGAAAGCTGGTTTCCCTCAGACTTCATAGCTGTAGAAGCATCTTTAGGAAAAGAAAATTTGAATGTCATTCTCAGGCTGTGGTAACACATCATATGTTTAGTACGTTGCATTGGATAGGACTAAAAAGTACTGTAGATATTGTTTAGGAATAAATACACGTCAGTTAAATATTAAAATATAGACCAACATATAAGGGTTTGAGCTACTTCTCTTAATAAGGTTGACATTTTAAAATGAAACCTCAAGTTTTAATATGGTATCAGCGCCAATTAAGTTTCAACAAGCAATTCGATCTGCTTAAAACTAAAAAACAAGCACACGGATTTCAAAATTGATATGCTTAAACGAATCACTATCTTACGGGGCATGTTAAGGGATAAATTTCACGTCGGTTAAATACCAAATATAGAATAACATATAAGGGTTTAAGCTATTCTAATAATGTTAACCTTGGAGATGGAACTCCAAGCCTTAATAGATACGATTTTAGCTTCTTTTTCTTTTCTAATATTGTCCAATACTATACTAACTTAGCAAAAGAGCTATTCTTGTTTAGCCATGACATAATTTTGCAAATGGGTGATGGGAATATTAATAGTTGTTACACTACATAAAAAGAAAATATAACTTTCATACCCAACGAACAAATGGACAAATCATACAACGCATCTTGAGTTTTTGATGTTCTAAATTGAAATCTGTACGTACCATTGGTTGATGTTGAAGCCTCCGAAGGTATTTTGGAGGCTAATGCAAATAATACAACAAAATATACAGCACAAATGACATTATCCGCAGCTACACCTGCAGCTACAACTGATGGAGAAGTACTAAGTGCCTCTGAGATTGCAACATAATTGATAGCTGCATAAACCATGAACAAGCAACAATCACAGTGATGAACATGAAAAAAAAAAAATAATAATAAAATTGGACATAAAGAACTATGCACTAATGGCATGTATTGTAGAGAGGATTACATAACACTGGACACTATTAAAGGAAAAAAGAAGTTAAAATCTTGTTTATTATAATGCCCGGCTCTATTTAGTATTGCATGCTAAACATGAACTAATGGAATAGGAAAAAATGCTATTTACACCAAAATGAGACTTAAAAAAGGCAGCATCCAGCCTACTGATTTTGGCGATTAGACCTGTTGAAGTTATCTCACGTCGATTATGGAAGGGACTGGTGATAAGTTTATAAGTGTGAGGGAAAGTCTCACGTCTTGAGCTAGTTTTTGGATTTGAGAAGGCCAAAAATACCTAATACTAGTATCAGAGCCTAAGTTATGAACAAGTTTCGACCAACCATCCATGAGAGATACGAGTTTGGTCCCACCTAGGGCACGATGTGTAAGGGGAAATTGTTGAGATTATCCCATATCGGTTGTGGAAAAGGTTCGTGGTCCATTTATGAGTGTAAGAGAAAGTCTCATCTCTTGAGCTAACTTTTGGGGTTAAAGAGGCTCAAGACCACCCAACAAGGCCAAGACCAGATGTTTAACAGAAAGCTGTGGCTGTATGTTATCTAAGAAGATTGCATCCAAGATCATTGTCGCATTTTTAAACCACTTGCCTCCACCAATATAACTACCCATGAGAGCAGAAGCTACTTTCCAGTTATCCTGGCCAAGTGATCTCATTGGTACCATCAGGAATGCCACTGTCGTTCCAACTACTGTTGCAACTGCAACATCAGAGGAATCAGAATAAGCAGTTGCACTAGATATATAGAATCAGATGAGGAAAGTCACGTGTAGAACAAAGTATTAGTAATGCAGAAAATTTTCTCAGCAATGGCAATGCCCTACATGATTAGTTTATGATTAGTAAAAGATCATTAGCTTATTTCAACAATCATCCGCAAAAAAAAATTTAGATAGTATTGAGCTAGTAGCGGTTATGCTATTCATTTATGGAAAGAAGAGCAACAAGTAACCCTTCTATCAATCGGGCACAATAAAATTTTCAATATCCTAAAGAATGTCAAATTTGACCACTAAATTCATGAATAGAGTGTAATATGCTAATACGTTAACTATATTTTGAGACATGTAAAATTTAATACAGAGTCCATTTTCCATATGGATTCCTTGATTTTGCAAATATGGTGTGAAATAATAATAATAATAATAATAATAATAATTATTATTATTATTATTATTATTATTATTTTTTTTTTTGAAACAAGGAACAATTGAACGATTCAAAATATTTGATAGTTTTTCATCAAATATCAGCTTTCTTGTCATTCTGGTCAAACCAAATGCTAGTTTCAACCTCCGGGGTTGAGAGATTATTTTAGCTACCTCTTGTTTAATTACATTTTCAGCGAACTTGATTCTCAATGCAAAAATTAAACAAAAAGTATAGCATTCTAATACAGATGTCAAAGGAAACATATATGACAATCAAAAAAGCGATGAGTTAGGCTATCAGTAAATTTATCACAGAAGAAATATTGAAGTAAAAAGGACGGAAATTTCTACCTAAAAATGAGCCTGATTTACCAAAACAACAAATATGCTAAAGAATTAGAATACAAAATTAAGACGTCTAAAAGTTATCTGGTATGCATACAATTTTGGCCAAAATAATTCGCAAATGGCAATCTTGGGTGGGTAAAACTGGAAGCAGGCGTTATCCTGATAACATCCCATCCACTTCTATTTTCAATCCTGTCCTATGCTAAGATATCAAACTTATTTGGATGGACTATGCATTACTACTCCTTGGCCTTCAAATAAAGTTGATAAAGCAATCGATTCTTTTGGATCTTTAAAACTTTTTATTAGCTCTTGAAATAAGAATAAGCTATTTTTAGCAATCAAACACTCCAATGGAGTCTCAATAGTTAGGCTTTTGTAAGGGATGAAGTACCTCCTATTTTATAAATTTCGTTGAACATATTCATCTTCTCCTACTTCACCCTGCAAGTCCGGGTTCTATATCATGCTGAGGGGGTTCGGCATAATAAAAATTGTGTTCACATAAATTAACCTCGATACACTGTCCTGGGTAAAGCACATAAGAGAAGGCACAAGCTGCAGAACATATGCCTTGTAAACATGTACAAAATTTATTTGAAGTAAAATGGAAAATAACCAATGTCAAGATCATGGATTCAAAATATAAGTAGAGAGTTGACCTGATCCTAACAAGAAAGCCAGGAGCAAAGCCCCGGTCGACTGTATCACTTGCCTCATATCTGCTCTGAATAATAATAAAGGTATTGTTAATGGCAGCAAATATTGAAACACTACTGAATACGCTGGTGCTTCAAATGGGATAATCCCCATATTACTCGCCGCAAGCCCAAGTAAAATGCTCACTAGTGCAGCACTCAACGTGCTCCCAATCTTGGTCTTCTCTGACCTTCAGTCCATTAATCACACACCAATAAACTAATTTGTTTTACTCAGGATTCAAGAAAGCTAAAAAACATTTACACAAAAACTGTTTAAGACTAAATTCAAGTGCCAAAAAGGTTAAACAATATCAGAGCAAAGAAATATTTTGGTTCAAGGTTTCGCCTTCATTTATTTGTAAAAATTTTGCACCACTTCTATTGAAAATGAATCCAGCCCATAAGTGAAAGCACGCAGAAGATTGAATTTAATTGAATTAATGGCTCCCTTTCTACCTAGAGCATCTAGATATGGTGGTTCAACAAATAAATTAAATAAAATTGAACTGAAAAGGGAAGGTAAATAGAAGCATACAAAATTCAAGAACAAAGACCAGAAAAGAGGGAAGTGACAGCGGGACAAAATTGAAACTTTCAATTTAAATTACCATAGACCGATAGTGCCTGTGGCCAATAGAGCAGTCCATGTACCCCAATGGTCCTGAGGAGAAATCAAAGGAGTATTCAATTGAGATTTGACTGTTAAAGGGTGATTTCTATCAGGGTTCTTGCGAAAAAATTTGGAAGAAAAACGTGATGGATGTTTGTATAAGAAAATTGAGCTAATTGGGAAGGTACAGAGAGTTGGCCTCTGGATTAATGTTGACAAAGAGGAAGATGAAAGAGTGGTCAGGTGCAATGGAAACGCCAGCAATGCCATTGGCGGCGAGCTTTTGCAGTAATGCTCCGGCGACAGTGATGTTGGGGAGTAGTCATTTTATTTTATCAACTACGTGGTGTTGTATGATCTTGGAATATTCTGTTGGATCACGTGGCCAGAAAACACACAAGATTTCGATTGATAGATTGGGCGGTAATGTGGGCTGGGCCGTCAGATCCATTTGAAAAACAAGTGGAAATTACATCCCAACATGATTTTAAAGATCACCATTCTTGAAATAAAAGACAATTTGGAAAAAGACGTTACTGCAGTGTGTCGCGATTTGATTCAGCATGCGAATGGCACCATCACACCTATTGCCGTTGCTTCTAATTTGACAATGATTGAACCACAGTGGCGCAGGTTTGTTATTTCCTTCTTTTATTACTGAGTTTCATTTCTTTGATGTTTATGGTGGTTTGTGTGACTGATGGTTGCTGTGGTGGTGTTTTTTACAGTTGTAGTGGTGGGGTAGCAACAGCAACGTGTGTGGTGGTGATAAGGTAATGGAGCTACTTGGGGTGGTGTGGTGACGACGACAGCGATGATGGAGTGTGAAGGAAGAGTGTGACTCATTATTCGAGTGTTGTGACGAATAAATAATTCGAGATCTAAAAGAATGTGTGATTATAAATACATTTGGAATGAGAATTTGGTGAGCTGTGATCAAATAATTCGATGATTTGTAATTGGAAAATAATTTATGACGAACTAATTCTATAATTTGTGATCAACAAAATATATGTGATAATTTGTGGTCGTGAAATGAGTTGTGATCTATAAAATTTGTTATTTGTCACCGATAAACAAATTGTGACATATAAAATTCTTTGAACTATAAATTTTTTTATTTATGATCAAAAAATTATTAAATTATTTGTGACTAATTAATTTGATAATTTATGACCAAATAATTTGTAATCAATAAATTTGGACTTATATATATATATATATATATATATACACATACTAGTTTTATGCCCGTGCATGTATTTTTTTTAAGGCAACGTTAGTGTAAAACTAATTCTGTACTACGCCATATACGTAGGACCAACTTGATTGTACCAAACTGATGACGTGTATAAACTAATCTTTTGGCTTTATTCATCTTAGTGCCTGTTTGAGTCATATTATTCCAAAAAAATGCATTCTTAAACAGTGATTTGACATTATTTTAACCACATATTTTTCAATAAAATAATATTACACACAAATAAAAAAAAATTCCTTATTTTTTAATCACACATTTTTCATCAATACACTATTCAAAAATGCATTATTACCAAAATAATGTGGCTCAAACACCCCCTCAGTCAACAAGATTATACAGGGAAAAGGTAGAGATTGCTTGCTAACCTGCTGACCATTATCACCTTATCTATGAATTAGAATTTTGGTGATCTGGATAAATTTAAAACATGATTGCAGGGCATTTCCCATACTTTCGCCATAGCAAGAAATTGAAACCTCCGTTTAAAACAAGGAAAAACACATCAAGATACATAATAATAGCATGATACTAAACCAATTTGAAATTAATATAAACTACTGCAGAAGCACATCTACTACTAAAACCCCGACCATAAAATTTGCACGAAGAAAAAGGAACATCAAAGAATTGAATGTTTACTAAACTAAAACCTGAGTCCTACGTTAATTACCAACAAAAGTTTGTATTAAAAAGACTTAAAACGAAAGGGAAGTGTGTTATTACAATATACCTGGCAGAAGTTAAATGCAAAACTCCAGAAGATGGACCAATGAATTTAACTCTATCGCGTAAATATTTATCAACACATAGATATACATGGAGACAAAGAAAAAGTAAAAGAACCATTGTTAATTCTTTTAATAGACATTGTGAACAAAATAAATTCCTCTATAAAATAAAGCACAAAGAAACTTGCCATATTTAATTCAGGTTTTCTTAGCTACATTCTCTAAAGTGGGTAAATTGTCAGTTTTCATTTTTCTCTGCAATTCTGAGCGAAGGGGATAATTTGAAGAATCCGGGATATCTGCTTCACCATACTAAACAAAGAAAAACATATTTTAACGATGTCTCAAAAGTTCACGTTGTCTCATACAAATGAACGGCTGTCAAATAAAAGCAATTTAGTCCCAAAATAATGATCAAACACCTTTGCTAGCATCTCCTAATATATATCAGATCCTTAAAAAGGAACATTAAACATGTTACAAGGTTCAAACTATGGCAGCAACAAAGCATTTAGCAGACTTAGTGATATTGTGAAAACAAATATCTAAACAAAAATAGACATGCTCGACCAGAAACAAGATTTCCGCGATTCAGATTTGAAAGCTTGAAAGCATATTTATCTCGAACTTTGTGCTTCAGATATACATAAGAAGCTGCAATCAGCACATTCTTTGTGTTCTCATTGCAAGTTGGATAAGAAAAGCATTCAAAAATTAATAGAATGTCCAAACAAAAGTGTGGATATATTGTTGTCCACTATTTATAAATTAAAGAAAGATAAAGTAGCAACTAATCAAATGGCACGGACATGATAATTTGTCCAATGTATAAAATGACAACAAGCGCATGGCTCCCTTAACAACTTTGCATAAAAATAATAAAACCAATTACATGTATAATATGATCCATCATTTAGCCAATCCCATATAGTATAAGAAATTACCAAATGAAACTTCAAGGCTGCATCCTTCAAGAATCGTTACAAGTATGTCTCCTTTCAATGCTGCTCTCTTAGACTTCCCAGCTGGAGATGCTGGAATTGAATCCTGGACACAGTCTATTCCTCCCACCACTTGTTTCACAAAAAATTTGCTCAATAAGCAAGAAGACAATATTCAACATCAATCATTGATCTTGAAAGCTGTCTAAAGCTTATGCCTTGAGGTGCACACCTCACCAACAAAACTTGTAATTAAAATCTGAATACCCTCTTAGGATCAGCCAACAACCCCATGTAAAGAAAACATGAATGGCATCTTGGTTTTCCAAACGAAAGGCTCTAGCAGCCTTAAAACAACAGTGTCTACATCAATTCCTTTATTAAAATCGACTACACAATTAAAGATTTGCATACGAGCACATTTTACTCATAGGTCCAAAAAAAATAATATATCCACAAATCATGTAGTAAAGTATATAGAAATTTGATTTATTTTGACTGATACTTGATATACTCGTACACATTTTATCCACGTGCACACAACAAAAACATATAATGCGCAAAACATGCGATTAAGAATTAAAATAGAAATGCATAACTGTAGTTCATATATGTGGCAGTATTTGTTGGAGAGTATCTGCAATAAGATTAAAAGTAATGTAAATTGTAGATGTACGATAATTGTGTCGACCATCAAATCAGATTTCGACACCAGATAGATACTTATAAATGGGCAAAGCTTAATGGTGGTGCTACTGATAAAACATGAAGCACAATCCCAGCTGGGAAATGTGTTTGTTGAAAACCAAGAGTGTATCTTAAGAAAAATTCGACGAGAGAGATAACTCAGTCCCAATTCCACCCATGTAAAGAAGATTTAAAATATATACTCAATGACAATTGTGTTAAAGACACTTCTAAAACTAATGCGGCAGTGCCATTACAACCGTATTGAGAACCTTAGACTACCTTGACCAAGCACAATTTCATTTCCACCATTAAGACGATTTTTTTTTATCCTTGCAGACAGATCATAGAGTGAGGCACCAAGTTCCTGCATGCATTATTTACTTCATAATGAATTTCCTTACCAAATCACCCTAAGAGTCCAATCAGGCAAGCAAAGTCAAATAACATCAAGGGTGTTGAAGCACTTAAAAGATCATTCACACTTCAATGCCTCAAAAGGCACTCCTCAACCTAGCAGTGCTTCAGTTAATTCGTCAATCCAATGTTGTTCATTGAATGTGGTGAGCAAAGAAATAAAACGGAGAATGGAGAAAATATATTTAACAGGACCATGTAGCTCGTAAACCTTTCATTTCCAAGATCAGTGTAGTAGTATTCCTTCAACTCATTAGGCTTCAACTAACCTTCATAGACAATAGTCCAGCACAGAACAGAATGATATCAAAAAATTAAATTAGAAAAGTCCCAACAAAGAAAAATATCTCACATTTGAAAGGAACAAATCTCTCCAAGAGAACATATATAGAAATCTCTCACACTACCATGTTGCAGGTTGAATGCAGCTCGGATAGCCACCATAGAAACCTTCCTTAATATGTACATCCAAAAGGATGCAGGGAAAAAAGAAAAGCAAGTCACGAATTTTGAATGTACAAAAGCTAATAGTCAACTTTTTAAAAGGATTAATTACCACGGTCAGCTCTTGGTATCTATCTATTGCTCAAAATGTACCTCTGACTTGGGAGTAGGTGTAAGAAGCACTTGCTCAATTATTGGCTCTGTCTGCAAAGCATACTTGCCCAACTCCGAGTTATCAGTGGGGACAAGTTGCCAGTCGAGATAGTGTGCCCAAGCAATTCCACGACTTGTAAAGTATTTAACACCAAAGAATATCAGGTATCACAAGTTATAAAACAAAATCCTATTTAGCTATAATACGATTAGATCTTGGTACTACCTTTGTGAATATGATTTTGCTTTGTTCCAGCCAACTTTTAGAAATGGGCAAGAAAACATGCCCACTGCATATTCACCAAGTGGAGGAAGCTCAAATCCTGCTTCCTTGGTAGCTTCATACAGCATGAACAAGAAACAATTATCATCAACAAACAATTATTAAATCCGATCAATAAAATGAACTGAAAATCCTTTCTTTTACTTTCCTTTGTAAATACACTTTCTTTATCCATTTCTGGTTTTCAACAAAGGTATAAAAGTCAACATATCCTTCAAAAATATATGAACCCATTGGAAAACCAAACAATTAAATCAGCTCTAAATACCTAACAACATTTAAATCAAAGAGAAAAATGATCTCATTCAAATCCAATTCCCCACCATTAGTAACATGACAAAAATAAGAATAAAAAAGGATTCACCATTTCGAACATGTTTGACTAACCTTAATGCAAGTGAAACTTACTTCTAGGTAACCTTAATAGCCAAACATGTTTGGGTTTAGTTGTAAGTTACTTGTCATTCCATTAGTTTTTAGTATATACAGTTACTTTATTTTCAAAGTACGTAAGGGTTACTGCAAAATAAGTAACTTGCATGTTTACAAGGTTGAGCAACTTAATCACTCTTTTACTCTCGATAAGTCATCAGAACTACAACAATCTTTTATCCAGTCATTGTTTTAACATATTAAAACAACATGATGGGTCTTCTAGTCACTTGAATGTTTTACTCTACATAAAAGTAACTATTTTGCCAAACATATATCTATTTCGAGTATAAACGGAATTATACATATGGAAATCGAATATTAAAAAAGCATCTTGATGAAAGCAGAATCTTGAATTAGCTCTAAAAAGTTGGACAGAATAATAATGATAGTTCACTAAAAAAACACAAACGTCAGCCTCATTCAACAAAATGAGAAGTCAAAGAAAAGAAAGTATTCCTCACAGCAAATTGTTATATTCCATCTTTAGTGGCCTACGACATAAATCCCAAATGCAAAAGAAAACACAATTATTGGTCAATGATCAAAATTTATACTTAATTTAAATCATACCCAGTTGATATTCGAGAATTTGGGAGGGTTTTGGAAATAGAAACTGGTGCATCCCAACTGGTGGCATTTTTAAGATGGAGCATCATCGTAGCCTCCAATGTGCCCACTATCTCTGCTCCGACAAGCGACATCATCAGCACGTGCCTCCAACTAATGCTCAGTCTTTCAATGCCTCCCCAAATTTCTCTATATGCTCCCACGTGTCATCACCCGTACTTTTAAATAAGCACCTTAAATTTATAGTTGACATATTTTAAGACAAGTACTTATCTAGTAATATAAAACATGTAAGATCAAATTATGAGGAACTTATTTTAATTTTGTACTTTTTTTACCATTCATCTAACTATTGAATAAGACATCACACAATCACGAGAATGTCCTTCATCTCCTTCTAGGACTGCTCATCCAACTACTTCTGGTAGAAAGCGACGAGGGATTCACGATGGACCGACCGATAGTGTATATTTGGGAGGTCTGACCACCACCCTTGACACGGATCCTCATATCCACTCCGAAAAACCGATGGCGACTGAGGAGGACAATGGGTTCAAATGCCTTGTAGCGCAGGATTTCCGGTTGGATAAACTCAATGGGGACGCTGTTGATCTTGATTAATTCGATTCTTCATTTGAATTTAAACAGACCAAATAAGATTATATACTTCATAAGAAGAAAGCCCAAAGCTTCTAAATTGGAGGGGCAATCGTTTTACCTGTTGCTAGGTCCGAGAGTGATCCCTCTCCACTCTGTCCCTTACTTGGCCTTTGAAAGCGGAACAAAATGACTCAGGACCTATCATCAAGATTAATGAATTACTATTTTCATTAACCAATCTGGCAACCAGATGCTTCGACAGCACCTTTTCCCCCTCTTCCCATGTCAGCTCAAACAGAGGTGTAAGATGGTTAATGTTTACTGATTAGCCCCCACAAGAAATTCAAGAATGGTAATCAGTATCCTAAACAATTTATTGTAATAAGATCAGGAGAGTGAATCGAAACAAAAAAAGATTAGTAAAATTATTACATCCATTGGTAATAATGTAATGTGACGCACCGAAACTAGTGTCAAAAATTTCTGCTTTCTTGATACGACTACAATTCAATATTTTCCTGTGAGTATATACACATTCTGGATATTCATTAAATCTTCAGACACCAAGCAGAAGTCCATGAAGATGCCATTTTAGTTTCTTTAGTCTACTATCGATATTATGAGATCAAGAAACATCATCGGGCTTCTGTTTTTTTGAGTTATGGCACTCTTCCTCCATGGCCTTCAATTTATTCTTTATTGCAGTTATTTTAGCACTTCGACTGATTTGTCCGGAACTGCTACCAGAAAGGCTTTATCTGCTCCTTCAATCATGTACTTCTCGCTGGCAAGACAAACAACAAAAGGGCGGCCACAGGCCATTCTCCCGTACATCTTCTCCTTGGCCAATTTAGCTTCCGGCATGCTCACGTATTATTATGATCCCCCGTCAGACTTGCAACCGTAGCCCGAAAAATTTCCACTAACCCACAAGTTCCACATGAACAACTACTCACAGACACATCTAATTGCTATTTAACTACGAACAGAACAATAACCTTAGCTGGAAAAAATCTACTTTTGCTGTATTTAACTTCCCCATATAATCATTCATCTTCATATACATCACAAATGACAAGCCTCTATTTCAAATTGAATAAAAAGAACGGTTATCTAAAAAATATGTCTCCCTTGCATTAGATGCTGGACCACTTGCTTAGACCATCTCTAACCCTGCACTAAAATTTGCATCATTTTGCGACAAATTTTGCACCAAACTAAAAATCATCTCAAACCCATTACACCAAATGAACAGTGTTTAGTCATTTTTTTCATTTCTTTTATTTTTAAAAATTTATATAGTCGAAAATTATTTATTTATTTGATTTACTTCTACATACATAATTACGTTTCGTTTATGAAAATATTAAATTATTTAATATATTTTAAAAATGTAGTACAATTAATAAAAATACCACAACTAATAAAATATGAAATAATGTTATTGAAAACAACGTAGTAAATTTCGAATCTCAAAATTATGATACGGCGAAGTCGACCTGGTGTCGTAATTTAAATGATCGAAATTCATATATTCATCCCATAAATGACAGTAATGTTTGTATGTCTGCTATTGTAGTTTCGTTTTAGTTTTAGATAATCATGTATGTTGAATTTTAAAACTTTTGAAGTACTTTTATTTTAATTTGTTCATCTATTATTATTATTATTACACGATTAAAGTTTACTACAAATAATAATAATAATAATAATAATAATAATAATAATTAACTACTTATATATGAATTAAAATTCATGTATAATCTAAAATGACACAAATACCTTTCATATTACTTGGTTATACATGGAAAAAAAAAAAAAAAAAAGATAAAATGGACTTTTATCACATTAATTTTTTTAATAAAGAATTAATGGTTTTTTTTGAGATATGAAATCAAATCGAAATTGAACCATTCAATTCTAGTCTGGTTTAATTTGATTTTGGTTCATTACTTAAATTTTCAAATGATAAATACAAATTAATCTATAAGTTAGTTACATATGTCTATATAAATATAAAAAAATAAATATCAAACATTCAGCAGATTCAACTTTAAATTATCAATCTTAAATATTGTATAATAAAATTCATTTACAAAAGTCCAAACTAACAAAACAAAACACATTCATAATTTCAATACACAAACATCAAGTTTCATTCCCGTACAAAATATTGTCTTATAATAATGATTTACTAATATAAACAAATGGGTCGCCGATAAAAATTGAATTTTTTTAGTGTGATTCACTATCTATAAAAAAATTAATAAAAATTGAATTTGGTTCTTAATTCTAATTCTGGTTCTAGAATTGGAACAAAGCAAGACCTAGAACCAAATGATTCTTGATTTTAAGACCTAAAACCATCAATAGTTCTTGTAGAATCGTCGGTTTGGTTCTTGTTTGGTTATTTTATCCATCGCTTGTTTGCAAATTTCAAAACGATGTCGTTGTAGTCGATAATAATTATACAATTTCAACCTCCCTCCTAGATGAATTTGAATCTATATGAAGATTTAAGCATAAAGGATGGAGCCTTTATCTAGGGATGGCAATTTGAACTGTCAAAATCGAAAATCGCGATTATCTGAACCGAATGGGGCGAAAAATCGATCCGATGATACAATGGGGGTGGATATGGTATTTGATTTTAATGAATCGGTTCGAGGGCGGGGCGAGTATGGTATTTACCCCATCGCCCCGAACCAAACTAATTAACTGTTAGAAAAAAATAATAAATTAATAATAATTGGGCTTTCCATAATTTTTTGATTTTTTCTACGTTAATTACTCAATTTGTTTGGCCCAAAATGTTTGGCCCGTTAACGATTATATTTCAACCCAAGTATGAAGTACCCAACCGGCCAACCCTAACAATCTAACACAAAGGCTATTGAGGCACAAACATATTATACTTTCATTGGAGAATTCTCAGCAGCCGCTTCTGCCTTCTGGGTTTGCCGAATGCAGAGTCGCAGATTGTCGTTCGTCCGCCTCCGTCCATTTGCAATATTTTCTTCTCTTTCTACCACTGGTGAGCTTCTCATCTTCTCTTTTGATAATTTGAATTTGTTGTGAACCCACTGTGTTGCTCTCTAACATCTATGCCTTTGCTGGTAAATGGAGTGACGCTGCAAAAGTGAGGAAGATTATGAACGAAACTGGGGTGAAGAAGGAACCTGCTTGTAGTAGGGTTGAGCTCAAGAATGCTGTAAACATTTTCGTGGCAAAAGATATTACACATCCACAGAGAGAAGTGATTTGTAGAATGTGGGAGAAGATTGCGTTGAGACAATATTGAGTGCAAAATTGAGACAACTCTATTCCAGATTCTTTTAACTAGTTCATCATAAATTCCATTTTCTCATTGTACATTCTATGGTTTGAGGAGCTTAACCAGCATTTTTCATTTTAGAAACATCTTCGTCATACTCTGACTGAATTTATTCCTTTCTCCCAGGTTGAAGTTGGTTGCGTCTTGCAAATAGTGGACGAGGTTCTATTTGCAGATAGCAAAAGGGTGTTCTTCTGGTATCTAAAAGCAGAATCTGAACTATCATGTCTATAGAATCTTTATATAGGAAGCTTGTTTAATATATGTAATTTGCATTTTCAACAATATGGTTTCTCTATATTATGCTGCTCTTTAACCTTCTTAATTTGGCGAATTTTAATGTCCTGAATCTGATGAGCTTTCAGCCTCAACTTCGTGCTTTCATCGAGTGAACTCTTATATGTTTGAGTTACAGATGTTCTGCACATCCCCTATACCTGTTCTTATACGAGCATTAATTGTCCTGTTCTTAGAACAAAGCTTGAAATTTTAATATTTCACAATCCTGTTCTTATACAAGCATTAATTGACCTAATATTTCGTGTTATGAACAGTATACTATACTTTGGGTTCGACGTTGATCCCACAGTTGAAGGTATTAAAATGGACACTCTATACTTGGTTTCAAATGTTTATTAGTTTTTGAGGATATTAACATGATCAAAATTGAACCGTTCCTCCTAACCTTAATCCATGTCATTGGTTTGATGCACTTAGTTAGACGAGCTTGAACAAGCACACTAGATTTGCTTGATTTTCTATCCATTGTCTAACATCTCATTCCTATATAATGGCTGGCACCTCATTCCTCACTTTTTCACCTAATGAAATTAATGAATGCCTAAGTTTTTGAGTTTGTTGATTTATTTTTTTATTTTTTTTTTGAAATTAGATGTCTTGCCAGGGGTCAGAATCTTTCGTTCCTACTCCCCACACTTCAATTGGAAGTGCTTCTGCTTCAATTCAAGTTGGAGATACATCAACAAGCACACCAGTTAATTCACAAAGTCCAAGTGAGGTAAATGCAAATTCTATTCTTATAGATTTAGGTGATGATGAGGAGACGATTGAAGAAAATAGAAAAAGAAAATTGACCTCTTCAGTGTGACAGCATTTTAAGCTACAGAGAATTAATATTGTGCCCAAATCAATTTGGAAACAATGTAACAAACAATTAGGGGGTGAGTCAAAAAATGGGACAAGTCATTTACATGCTCATTTAAATAGATGTCCTCTTCGAGATAAAAAGGATGTCAAACAGATTTTTTGAATCAATTTAAAGAACCTGGTGGTAGGATTGCAATGGGAGCGTTTAATTTTGATCAAGAGAAAGGTAGGACGGAACTTGCAAATATGATCATCCTACACGAATAGCTTCTTTCAATGGTTGAGCATACTGGGTTTAGAAAGTTTTGTAATACAATTTAACCAATATTTAAAGTTGTTTCTCATAATACCATCAAGACTGATATCTTGAAAATTTATGATTATGAGAGAACAAAAGTAATGAGCTTGTTAGAGAGGACCAATAGTAGAATAGCTGTAACCACTGATATGTGGACATCCAATCAAAAGAAAGGATTTATGGCTATCACTTCACATTACATAGATGATTCTTGGAGGCTTCAGAGCCGAATTTTGAGGTACAATAGTCTTATAAAATAGACTTGAAGCTACTATCGTATATCTTCTAAAATTTTAAGTTATCTTACGAACTTTTTTCATATCCATACAGATTTATATATGTCTCTTGTCCCCACACTGCTGAGTCACTGTCTATTATGTTAATGGATTGTCTATTTGATTGGAATATTGATCAGAAATTGTCCACATTGACTGTTGATAATTGCACCACGAATGACGCTATGATTAACATTATGTTAGATAAACTTTCTCTTGGTTCTTTATTGTTGAATGGTGAATTTTTCCACTTGCAGTGTTGTGCACACATATTGAACC